TCACAGTAGTGCATATGTTGTTCTTCCTTCATTTGGAACGCTGACATACTTCCAGCTAAATACATATTGAGCTGTCGACAACATCGAAGGCAGTGTTATCTTTGCCGTAGCCATCTTTTTGAACTTTTTTTTATTATATTATTGTATTAAAGAAGAATGCCTTCATATTGTCAAAACTCATCTTCCCTATTTTATGGCAAACACAACAAAAAAAATCAATCTTTGGGATCCTGTAAAACCGAAATGGTATGGATTTTTAATTAAAATTAATCTTATCAAATACGTGTTTATATTAAAAAAGTATAATTAATACTGTTACAATGCGAGTAGAAAAGTTCAAAAATTGGGTTAAGGCAGAGACCATAGTGTATACGATGATGCTAATAGCCTATTTTTTTTTTGTTTTCTCTTTCAAAATCTTCAAATTTATAAGTGTGTTTTTTTTGTGACTTCATATATGTTACAAATGAAATTCGAATTGCTCGGTTCAAAAGAACTGTTGTCACTTTACATTTAGCTAGAATTAAATTTATTTTCTTCATTCAGTTAGAATCTTTAATTTAGCATTGGAAAATTGTTACATTAAAAAATTTAACAAATATTTAGCTGTTGTAGTAATTTATATATGTATATATGGGAATGTTTAATAGATTTGTATGCTAAAGATGAAGAAGGTGACTCGTATTTGATACGTTCGATGATTTTTTTGAATAAAGTCCAATACTGATACGTCTTCAGGGCCATTTAATTACACGCACTTTCGTTGAATGAGTACATTATAAAACTGAATTTGTTCATCATCACTTTAAGACTAATGATTCTAATTTTTTTTGTGATAATATCCTAGTGTGCTTAGCAATTTTTTTATGTTAGCTAACGGTTGATACATGTTAAAACTGCTGAATATATTATTACTAAGGTAATATAACTGACTTAATCGGTTTCACCATTTATTAACATATAAGATAAAAAGTTACGTAAAGTTAACTTGCAGTATCGATTTCATGCCATTTAATTCTCATGTTACTAATGCAGGAAATAAATGATTTTGAGAAAATTAAGAATTGTGATTGCAACCCAAATTTTATGGAAAGCTGCCAAACTTCACGAATTACGGATAATTCACCATAAAAGCTGAAAGAAGCTGTGACCAAAAAAGATATGCTTTGGAGGAACAGATTTTTTTTACGACGAACCTAGCGTTACCCACCGGGGTGCGCGTCTGTCAGAGGAATACATGTTGGGGAAATGTATATTAAAATCGTTACACAAAGATCTAAAAGGGTCGTGCATTTCAAAGTGTGTTCTGCACGAGCCCAATGATAGAGACCTAAAGTGTATCCAAGCATCTTTCTACTACTATGGAGGGTAGGCAGATTAGTGAGCCGTAAACGTCTTTTGTAAGAAGGTAGGTTCTTGTTCGCATCCCAGTTTAAATTTCTTATCGCGAATAATATTCCATATTCCAAAATGGGCCTAACAAGTGAGGTAAAGCGTAATTTGGTAATGCATGGGTCCTTGAACTCCTTAGCCCAACGTTTAATGAAAACTAAAACTCGTTTTGCCTTATTAGCGCAAGCATTTATATGATTCCTAAAATCTAGCCATTAGGGTCCATTGTGACACGGGCATCAATGATTTTGGCACATTAACCTTAAAATTTTTTTTAACAGAAGTTGGATGTAAAGATTAAGACAACCACACAGCACGAATGTTTGTGTAGAATCTCAGCCAAACGAAACAAGCGCATCTCTCAATATAGGTATTTTTGATGAAAAAATTTGTTTTTAAAAACAAAAAACCACTCTACAATAAGTATTGAAATGAAGAACTGAAACACTTTTGAAGTCGTCAATTTTCCGAAATTGGTAGAATAACTTCCTATACCATTTTTATTTCAATGGGTAAAGAAATAGAGCATGCATAAGATTTTTTTGAATCTATTTAATGAAATAGAACGAAGCATCAAGACTGTGAAGAGATATAAAACTTGAAAAACTAGAACTTGACGGACCGATTCCGCAGATGTGCGTCGAAAACATAAACCACTTCGTAAGCAACCTCGAACAAATCTATAGCATCCCGAAATATCGATGCTATTATAACCCTTGCCACATAAATAAAATCTATTTCGCAGGCGGTCTCAATTTTACAACACTACCTCATCCTTATGCTAAGAGGTATGGGGCGATTGCAAATGATATTGGCTCTTATATTAACAAATTTCCTATGGACTTACCAGGCACAGGGCAGCGGGGGATTTTATACAGCGGCTCATATTCTGGACAAAACAGAGCGATGTTCGAAAAGGTTTCGAAGGATCATCCTAGTATTGAAATTATCGATCATAAATTTCTTCGATGTCGCTGGAATACGATTCTGTTCACTTACATATAGAGGAAAAAAATTGCATTATTTTGAAAATCCACATAATTGGGCAAATTTGATAGCTGAAGGTGAAATAAAATCGAAATCGATTCTGATCTTAACGTAGATGATTAAAAAATTTTGTAAGTCGCGTTCTGAGTTTAGTTATATATTATTATATATTCTGAAATGTTTTTCTCTCAATTTTCTTGTACTTGATTATACCGGATATAAATAGTTGTCCTTAACTTTTTTAAATATAATACCTCTTAATGCTCTAAAATTTTTAATGCAAAATATGGAAGTATTACATGCCGAATTTGACGAATAAACTTTTTTTAGTTTGCACTATCACAGAAAAAAACTTTATTCGACATATAAATTTTCTTTACTGGAGATTTTCAAATTTCACAAAATACATATCTTATACCAGATTGATATTTTAGATTAAATTCTTTTTCACAAAACATTATATTTTATTTCTTTTTTTTTTTTTGATTTGATTGGAAAATTAACTATAAAAATAAATCTTAAATACTATTTTCAATATTAGTTTTTTTTTCGCTCTGCTATAAAATTACTGGCGGTCGCGGTAGACGAGTGGTTAACATTGCGTACTGCTATTCAGAGGGCTGTATTCTGATGTACTAATGATGTAAGCTGTGAGCACACAATTATGCTGTGCAATGTCGAAAATTATTCTTATGACTTCAAAAAGCGTAATTTACACACAATTTAAAAAAGAACTCCTTAAGGTTACCCTCTCCCTGGATTTTCAACATCTTTATTAAATTCGGTACATGATTTAATTTCTCGCCCTATTCTAAATCGAAAAGATTTTTTAACCTATCGCTGATTTGCGCCCACACGCCGATTGCCACTATGTGAAAATTGATCTTGGCGACTTCAACACCACAGTGGCCAAAGAAGATAATTTCGGTACAACTTCCGGTACAACAGTCGACGAAACATCCCCAAATGAGTTGAGGTTGATCAACATCACCAGTCCCGAAATATGGTTGTCTATAGTACTAGAATCCAGCACGAGAAAATTCATCCGAGAGAAAGACGCGTTTGCTGGCAAAAAAAGGACGAGATGAGTGAGTATGAAAATCCTAAGAAGTTGGTCGACAAAGGTTATGCTTGAAAATTATCCAAAAAGGTTTGATGTCTTACAGAAGATTTCAAGACCAGAGCAAACTCTTTTAGGACGAATAAACGTGATCTAATAGATGAAAGTCTTTCGCCTAAACTAACCTGGTAAGTCTAGCATGAACCAGATATTTGCCATGCACCAAATATTTGGAAAGACCGAGAAATAGGATCGACACTCTTCGTTGGTTTTAAAGCAGTCTTCGACAGCACAAAAAGTAGTTGCCTCTACGCTGCTTTGTCTGAATTTGGTATCGTCGCAAAAGGTATACGGCTGTGTAAACTGGTAAGGAAAGTACAATCTTTCCGAAGATTGTCTAGCAGCTGCCATACGAGGATGATAGTGACAAAATTAACCTCAACAACCATGCTATGAGTTCTGTTTTTTCCATATTGGATAAGAAAGCGAAAGGTATGGGTCTGATAGCGACCGAAGGTACGACGAAATATTTCCTGTCATCAAACAAACGGTCATTAGGGTCGGCAATGAAATGAAGTGAAGAAATGCTGTTACTAACTCCGTTAAATTTAATTAAATTTCAATTTGGATCGTTTAAATTTAAATTTATTTTAAGGATATGGTGGATATGTCGTATTTTGAAGAAATTGGGAGCAAATCCTTTACTTTAACATTCTTATGTCTAACGAGAGTTCTTAATTTCATTTCATTTAAAGAATGAATACTTTTTAGATTAAATTTATTATTTTGATGATTGGTTACAGGTTTTAACTAACAGCTAAACTAATTTTCACGCTTGTTATTTTATGAAAATACAAAACATAATTTCTAATTATTTCAACAAGTTTTGAGAAATTTTCCATATTAGCCTTCCATTTTAAAATATTTATCAAGCAATAATAAACGTCACAATACATAGTTATGGACTGTGGAAGAGTAACAGATGATTACTATTTTCGTGGTAGAGCATGGCACTATTAGCAACACAGATAATGTCTTTCAAATTAAAGTATATTTTAAACCAGGACTACGAATATGACCCATAATGTTTAATGCGTACGCTTTATTATGTTAAAATAAAATGTGAAAAAATTTCTCACCCTTCAGAAGGGCGGTAAGCAATGCTCACCTCTCGGCAATCACGGCCTTCGATTTCATAGTTTCATTAATTTTTTACAAAGCAAATCAGATTTCGCTGTTTGCCACAATGACTTAAAACTGCCCAACAATAGTGTGTGGCTTAAGTGTGTATACCAGCAAAGTTTATTTTCGTCTAGACCATCTAATTTAACATCTATATATTTATAATTGACATTTTATATCCGCTGAAGCGATTTTCGGCCTAGATCATCAATTTGTAGTGGTCATCTGAATGTTTTTTTTCAGTATGGTAATATGTACTGCTAACCTCTGGTCTACAGCGGCCGCAACATCTATTGATCACTTCAAATCTGCAGCTTACGTTCATTAGTTTAACACTCTTCGGCTAACTAAAATTTGCATCTTAATGCGTTTAGTGGGCTTTGGTTTAACTAAGATATTTTATTCGAAATGTTACATTGCCGCTGAAGATACATAGTAGGCCATTTTAGGTTAAATCAGCGGACAATGAAATAATTTTTAACATAATAATAATAACAATAACAGATCGACTAATGACATACCGCGTGGAGGTCGAAATTGATACTGTGGAACACGCTTTACGTCTAGAGGTCTTCCGATTAGACGCCACCTATTTATTGTGGAGATATTTGAAGTCCAAGGAAACGCTGACAAGCCGAGGACCATGGCTGAACTCAAATACAAGATTATGTGATATCACTTAAGAAAAATAGCTGAAACATTCCAATTGAGCCAAACTAAATAATTAATAAAATTAAAATGCAAATACATTATTTTACATATCTGTCAATTTGTTTTGGTTGCGACCTCACCTAAGTAATTAAGTATGGTAATTGTGATACCCCGATTAATTTTTTTTTATAGACTTATACTTAGCCTTTACAGAAATTTTGATAAATTTCAATATGTGTTTTTTGGTATTATTTTAAGTGAACTTGTTCGATTATGGAAAAAGAATTTCCTCTAATATTGATTGAAACAAAATTCAAGTCTTCCCCAGTCATACCAATTTTGAAATTTTCGATTGGAAAAAATATAAGAAAGTAAAAATTTGAAACTTTTTCTTACAAACCAACGATTATCACTAATTTACATACATTAGTATAATTTTTACAACGGTAAGAAGGGTTTGATGTTTTTAAATTGCAACTTTTTCCTTTAAATCAACAATTATCATATGTTCGCATGAATACATACATATCACATTTAAAAAACTTTGCAGGCAAAAGTTCGTCTGTTAATGAACGCGATTTCTAATAAAAGAATATATTCAATGCAGACGAAACTTGGCTATTCTATAAATGTTTGTCAGATCGGACGTATCGCCTCAAAAATTAAAAATGTCATGGGGGCAAGCACAGTAAGCTAAGCCCTACTGTTTGCTATAAACATGGATGACAATGAATAACTTAATCCTCTGCTAATCGGAATGTCAGCAAACCCAAAGTGTTTTAAAAACATTTGTTGTTTTCCAGTGCATTATCGAAATAATAAGAAAGCGTGTATGCCAACACATACGTGTATATGTAAAGAATGACTACAAATCCTAAATGATTCCATGGCAGCTAATAATCGAATGATATTGTTATTTATCAACATTAGTACAGCGAATAATAGTTACCCTCACTTAGCCACCACTGCCCCTTGGCATGGGTATCATATAAAATTTTAAATCATTAAATTATCTTTTTTCATCAATGCGGTTAACAAAATTATAAACCATTTCCATGCGAGTTAATAATTTTGTTAACATCATTGATGAAAAAAGTTCAATTTCACAATGTTAAAAGCTATACAAATTGATTATAAAGCGTGAAAAAAACAATAATATATTGTGGGTTCAAAACTGCTACCGTGCTTGCGCTTTCATTGGAGGATGGTCCATTGAGCATAGATTATCTTTCGGCAACTATTTCTGGGAACTCTCTAAACTCCGATGTTTTTAAGGAATACGTAGTCGTTGACAATGAAGTTGCTGTACTTGGTATGTTGACAGATAATGACATATTGGAAGAAGTTTCGCATATAAATAATGGAAGTGATGAAGATGATGATAACGCCGAAGGAAATGAAATTTAAACAAACATACGCAATGAACTCCTCAATTAAAACTTTTTTCAACACATTATGTAGATAAAAGTGTATTCGACAGCATAATAAATTTGAAGGACGTAATAGAAAAAGTGTGAAAAAAAACACCAAGGAATTGAAAGTTACAGACTTCTTTAAAGTTTGATTCTTTGTTATTATAATTATTTGTTTCTGTTTAATTTTTATTAAATTTAAAAAGGAAAAATGAATGTAAGGGGTGTGGTCAAAAAATAACCATCCCTTTCAAATTTTTAAGAAAATATTTATTTGTTCATTAATAACTATCTCGCCCCCTTCAAAGTAATACCCCTTAGGTATTATAGACTTATGCCAGCGTTTTTTCCAATTCTCCAAAAACTTCTGAATCGCGTATTTTGGTATCGTCAGCAGCTCCTAATCGATTTTTCTTTTATGTCCTCAATCGTAGCAAAACTCTTTCCTTTCATCGGTGTTCAGTTTTGGAAAGAAGAAAAACTCAGTGGAGGCCAAGTCCGGTGAATACCGTGTTTGAGGCATGATAACGGTTTTGTTTTTGGCGAAAAACTCACGCTCACCGAACGACCTTGTGACAAGAATTCATCATGCACCACGCCATTCCAGACGAAGAAAACAGTGAGCAAAACTTTCACATTTGTCGCGCTCGGGCGACGAGGCTGAGCATTGTCATTGACATCTTCTCGGCCTTCCTTAAACTGGTTTTACCTCAATTGAACATGTGTTCTGCTAATAGTAGACTCGCCAAACGCCAATTTCATTTTTTACACAAAACTTAATACTCTTTCTTTGATCCACTTTTTCGAATAGTAAAAAACCGAAGACCTTACCAAAACACGACTAACCTTTATATCGGGTAAAAATAAACTGACAATCCAAAATGGCTGATATTGTCAACATATATAATAGACATGTGTACCAACATAACAAAAAAAAGCCAAAATCGAACATACGTAGTTCACGAAATTTGAAAATAACGGATATTTTCTGATCACACCTTGTATATACCGGTGCATATTATTTTTAAATTTCGAGTAAGGTATTCAGACATGTTATAAAACATAAAAGACTCGTTTATTCGAAATTTTTTAGGCACATTGAACTCCTGAAATCTCCTTGCCATTTCGAGCTATGGGGACCCGATTGTATAAATTTTCTAAAGGTTTGGGAAAATATAAATATGTATAGCGGTACATTTTCTTTGGCTTTTATTTGAACGTAATTACGCACATATTATTATAATTTATGTTTGTAGCTGTTTCAGTGGGTGTTGTGCGTTTATATTTAAATAAGTAATCGACATATTTTAAAAGTTCATCCGAACTATTCTGTAAGAGAATAACTAAAGTTAGACATAAACATCAGCCTTTTCTGGCTGTACAAGTAATGCCGCTTAAGCACAATAGTTAGTTCAAATGTATGGTTCCACAATATCATGTTGGAATAGCTCGGAACGCTAGAAAGTTAAGAAATTTTTAACTTTTCGCAGGAGTTTCAGAATCTAATACTGGTACGTAGCAATACGGCAAGAATGTAATAGATAACTACTACTATAAAATAAAGAGTACTCCGTGAAACGAAAAATTACGCTTACATCTTCATACATATATTTTTGTTTTGAACGTAATTCGCTTTCGATCGAGATCCTCCTCCAATTTGTGGCATGCGTCCAACAAATTTTCATACATTTTTTTACATAAAACTTGTTGCGTGCTTGCAACTTCATTTATTGACTGGGATCGTTAAACCACAAGCCATGATCGACTAACGACCGAGAACTTAGTTGGTACAATGCCACACTACAGAGAAATATATGAGTTGGTATTCCCATGTGCCAGATGTTCCTCAAATTTTTGCACAGCATATCCGTTCAATACTTGCATAATTTTCTTTTACTTCTTACCACATCCATACTCATATCGAATAGTAAAAATATTGATAGAGAAGAAAACGTAAAATTTATTTGTTGACATAAAGCATTCATTAAAGAAGCCATAAGAGACTTTTTTGTACAAATGTACACTCGTATGTACATACAAATACGTAAATTTGTATGTATATATTCATCCTTTTTTGTTTAAATGGTTTAATTGTATTTTAATAAGCTGATTGTTGGAGAATTATGTTAGAAAGGGACAACAACGAAATCACACAATTTACAATTTTACCGCAAAATAGAAGGGCGGCCCACTTGTAGTGTACTTACATATATATTAATATATACCTGGATGCAAAATTGACATTTTTCTATAAGCGCACATTCCAAGTTTATTCACATCGGGGTGGGTACAATTAATCATACCTTGCTTGTAAGTTGCTTTTGATTGGATACTTTATAACAGCCTATCATTGCTTGTCTCATTGCAGTACAACACATTGGTTTGCACTCTGAGAGTAAGTGAGAAGGACTGAAATACAAATGTACCTCGGAGATGAATATGTTAGACAGAACAAACACGCAAAATTCAACAAATCAAAACAAAAAGTGCACATATTCGAGCGTCCAATAACAATACAGAGTTAAAGTTTAATGGAAAAACTTATTCGAGGGCTTTCCAGAAGCCATCTGAGAAGTACTCGTCAGTGCTGTTCAGACCTCTTGTTTCATTTGACGGATTCGTGTCGAGTGGATATTCATATTAAATTCACTGATGTGGGTTCTTCTCTATGTGCCTAATACAACAATTGCTTTGTACAAGTTTTTTTGTGCTGTTATTAGTAGTATCAGAAATTTCACGGTTTTGATTTAATGATATCAATAGTGTTTTTGTTACAATTTTTTAACAGATATAAAATAATTTTATGGAATTTAGGAGAGTGAACCGCTTGAGCAAAACGCATGTTATTATAGATAATAATAATTATTTGCTCTCAGTAAATAGTGAAAATAAATTTTCTTAATATAAATCCATTTAAATTGATACTAACTTGCAATATACAATAGCTAAAAGGAAAGTGAAAGTGTTTAGCGAAACTTTATGTAAATGTAAATGAAACTCAGTGCTATAACTTTCTATTATGGTAGAAACTTTGGAATTTCCAGTCAAGGTAATTCATTAATTTAATTTATAGATAGTAGGTATCTAAATTTAAATGTTTTTATCAGTAAATGTATATTTCGCTGCCGCGCAGCATTATTGTGTACGAAATTCTTTACGAAGCATTTGTATAATTGTTGTTAAATGAGATGCATAATAATGCTCTATGCATTGCTTTTCCTAGTTTCATCATTGAAGTCTTAACGAAGCAATCGAAGAATTTTCAAAAAGCAGCGTTTCGCTAGCGGAGACTAAATTATATCCCTTAGTGCAGCATGACCCTTACTACACCACACCCTTGATGCCTCTTTCTCCCACCTTATCGACTTACTGAAAACGCACATTTCAGTCATTCGACCAATGAAAAGAAAGATTATCTCTTCGCTGTATCACAAAAAATTGCAGTACCATAATTATGTGCTTTTAATACGAAATTTTTTTAGAATGTTAAAATTAAAAATCAAAAATTTCACAATATTATTAAATGTTCAAATAATTACAAAATTTAACATTTACAAACTTAAATTGTGTATATTAACGATGCAACAAAAAATTCCCTTTCTAAATTGTTTACGCAAACATCTCCAAATTTCAGACGAAGTTGGAGAAGTTTTACAGGTAGTCCGAAAACCATTTCAGCTGGCGGAGGTAGCCAAACTGCTTCTTTGAATGTTTGTCACAATCTTAATAATAAAGTAGCTCATGATATCGATCACTGGTTCCAATTTGAGCCATTATCGAAGATTTAAATTGCCTGCGGAAACGTCTATTATAGCTGGATGTATAATTTGTGGACTTCTTGGTAACCTCTGAAAGCAACGGCGAAAGGCTAGATTTTATATTTTCATTTTATTCTATAATGTTCCCAAAAGCTTAATAGTCTCAGAGTTGGCTGCTGATAAGAAGAAATAACTCGTTAAAGTCAAAATTTCACCATTTACAGGATCGGTAGTTACCGAAATAGAGAATGTCAGAAGTCTCAAAATTTTTTGTAAAATATTTGATGATGTAGAGCTTTGAAAATTTGTATAAGATGGCAGGGATGAATACATCCACAAAATTTATATTCGACATACGAGGTGTGACAATTAAGGAAAGAGTTCCAGCGCGTTTTCCATGCATCGTAACAGCACAGAATTTGTTTTAGGGAACAAAAAAGAGTCGTTGCAACACGGAGATGCCTTTAAAGGCTAAATACTGGAACACGCTGAGGGCGGTGTGGCACGACGCGTTGTCGTGATGAAGGATCCAGTTACGAGCGATGACTGGGCGCACCCCGTTGATTCGCTTTCGAGTACTTTGCAATAGTAGACTTGATTTACGGTTTGCTGTTTCGCCCGATTTCCCGCAAAATTTTGGTGCGCCACGTTGCTCTTAATTTCGTTTTTCCATTTTGGAACTGAACAAGCTAGAGCGATGGCAAATATATCAGCGGAGAGAACGATGCTGGGAGAAGGGAAAGGGAATTTCAAGGTCACAGGGTTACCACAATCGCGGCAATATAATCAGCCTCATTACTTAATTTTCCGTAGTAAATAATAATACGCTAATAAACTCATAAAATGTTGCATTTATAATGTATTCGTCATAAAAATCATGAAACAATGTTAAAGAAGCGGCTTTGGGTAAACCGATCCATGTTCATTTTTGTCCCCATATGAGGTAGTCATTGGCGCTGCCATTGCCATTTCAATGCTTCATTTTGTTCATTTTATTTTGTTATTAGATTTTTGCTACATGTTCGCCTTGATTTCATACCATTAATACAGTGTCATCTAAGAACATAGCAATCAAGTCGCTCGGTATCTGAAGGTTTAAAGATATTTTTATAACACAGAACATGGGCGCTCATAGAGCTACGTTGGGTTTTAAATATCTGAATATGACTCAGTATATACCGGGGTGAACGACCGTACATGCTTGATATTTCGCTTTTCGAGCCCAATAGAAAAAATCAGCAAAACAAATAAAATAGTTAAAAAACCGATAAGAGAATACCATCCAGAATAAGAAAAAAAATACTAACTTATAGTCACATAACCTCTTTTGGGGTTTTAATTTTCTTAATATTAACAAAATAATTTTGAGTTTTAATTTAAATTATTACTATTTTTTATGATGCTTTTTATAATATTTGGCTTAACTTCAAACAATTTTTTATTTAACTTTTTTTTGGTCATAAGGTTCCACTATCTGAGGCTATTTGCTATAAATACTTCAGGTTTGATGGAGCTGAAGCGCATCTTGACAATGGCCCGTATTGGACCAGGTTTGCTTGACTTTTGAAAAGTGCTATTGATTATAAATATTAAGATATTGGTATTTTTTCATTATGCAATCTATTTTGTGTAGTAGTCCAATATTTCACCAAGCGATGCAACTTCCAACCGTTGCATGCCTCCACCGCGTTGCACGTTTTGTTTCATATTCCGCAGTTGGATGTATTCGTCGAGCCGGCACCACATGACTGCAATCTATTAAATGACAAAACAAGATATTTTCTACACTCTTGGTAAGGCTTAATTGATGTTTCGACTTTGGGTATAATTTCCTCATAAAATTAAACTACTACACTCATGTATCCTTCATTTCATGTCAGAAATATACAATACTTTTTTTGCAAATTGTTCCGATAATATTTTATATGACCAATAATCTTTGTCAATCTGTTTATTCTTAAAATCATCTATGTAAGTCACCAAAAATCTGTATTGCTGTGGTTAGATAGTGTTTGCCTATAGTGTATTATTACATTTAATAACAAAGTTAACTTAATACATATGTGACTACGAAAAATTGTTGTTTGCTATAGCATACTGATCTCTGTTGAACTAAGAATCTTTAGTTTGCATTATACAAACGACAAATTTCACGTTAATGAAATATTGTCGCTGAAGCAGTTATCAAAATAAATTTTATTTCATTTTTATGCAAAACAAAAAGCTGTCGTTAAAGCTCAATCGGTAATAGATAATGTAATATCTTAAAATTGAAATGTGTTGTTAAATCATAGCAAGCAACTATTTGAAAATTAGCGTTAGCGATGAGTTTGTTCGGTTTCAAAATTAACAATTTCATTTCGGTTTGATATATTGTATTATTAAAAATGTATGTGTAAATAACGTTTAAAACAATCATTGGATTATTTTATATTGCTCTTGCAGACTACCTTCCCTACCCAAGTCTTCGGTTCCAATTTGGCTTGTTCGGTTATACCGTTTGGATTTTTTTCTTTATCTCGATTTGGGTTTTTGATAATTTAAACAAATTACATCAATAAGATTCAGCTTAAGTGTCGAGTGAATTGATTCATTGCATTCAACAGTCGCAAATATCATGAACTCAACAGAGTCATTAATTTCCCGGTCAAGTATGATACATCTAGAAAGTTGCAGCAAGCGTTATCCAGTTATACATTGAATTGCTTGGCGAAATGGAGTTCGGCGTTGATAGACTTTTGATTAATGCAATACAAAAATTTAGCTCCTGGGGAAAGTTCATTAAATGAAAAATTAAATAGTTCTTAGTGATATCGGTAGAACAACAAGCAAGCTTGTAAAATCGTCAATACAGGAAAGAAATTAGTTTAAATAGGTGCAGAATATATCTACAAACTCAAAAATGATTGCTAGTTAAATATCTTCATGGAAAGGGAAATTGAGCCATAAAAACATTACTTTTCAGCTAGTAACTGGGCTAGAAGCTCTAAGTAAGTGCCAACGACAACTTCTTTTAAACATTTTATTTTTTTTTAATATGTTCAGCGTTGGTTGTTACACCACAAATTTAGCAAGGACCCTGAAAATACAAAAAAGGTTTACGTATATTTTAGATTTAGCTTGAATAATCTTCTAGCTTTGCCTCTGATCGAAAGTTACGGCAGAACAAAGTTTCATTATGTATTTTATTATGTGCTTGGTATGAAGAATAACTTGTCTGTGTTTTGGATGTAAATAAAATATGCTGATTTCATCTCTTACAGGGTGTCTAATATAGTGGAGAGCGTGTTGAGAGAGATTGCAGCTTCATGTACCACGGTAAAGATAATGTTGCAACTAGCCAAAAACAGTGTGACTCTGCTCACGAGTATCTTATGGCTTGGCGATGCCGTTACTGATGTGAATCCCGTAGAAACCAGCGGCGATATGTTTTTTCGTAAAATAGACTCAGTTGATTGCTCGTTGCCATACAAGGTTGACAGTATTGACTTCTATAAAGGAATTTTATATGAATTAAGAAAATGTACATTTAGTTATATATTACCATATATGGCGGCCACGGTAGCCGAGTGGCAAGCATTGCGTACTGCCATTCGGAATGCTTGGGTTCAAATCTTGCTGTCGTTATAACATCCAGAAACTTATAGAAAATTTTGTTAAATAAAAAATTTAGGTTAATTTTCTAATTACGATCGCCCCTCGACCGGGAATGTCAACCCCTCCGATTGTTGGTAAAACATCAAGACGGAAAACCACAAATCGGAGAAGGAGCTCGGCCGAAAATCGCTTAAGCGGTTACGAAGCCCCAATTATATATATAATATATGTTTATTTATAGATCTTGCATATTTGAGTGGCATACATTAAATTTTTCAACATTTCGCCGCTGCAAGTAAGGTCGACAACTATGCACACATTCTAACAGCTAGATGTAGTTATTTTTTTCACTGTAGGTACACAAATTATAATTGACCCTTGGTTTTTTTTGCGTTTTCAGAATGTTAAAAAGATGTCATCCTTATATGTTAAAAATGAAAATTTATGTACTAAAAAACGTTGAAAAAATATCAAAATCTGAGCTTTTCAATTTAATGTATTTGAGTTTCTGTTCGTACACCTATGGCCTTGTTATCAGCCAATGTAGCCAATGCTGTTCATTCTTATCTATGTTCAGGTTTTATGTAATATAATGATGTACACATATCTAGCTGCAGTGGGCATGATATTACCAACGGTTTAGCTTAAATTTTTGGACAAAAAAAATTCTACATTCTTGTGTGCGGCTGTGTGTGTGTGTCTTTAGCTTTTTCAGAAAAAACTCATTTACCTGGATTGCTAAAAAATTATAGAAACATATGTGTGAACTACAATAAAATATTAAATATATATTCCCCATCAAATATACACTAACTAGCAGACCCGCCCTCATGGGCTGTGACTTTATTATATTGTGGTCAATTTAGATATTAAAGTTGGTATTGTAAATGAACGATTAATAATCTTAATAATCTGAAATTAATGCATGGTGCAAATAATAAACTTTGTATTATCTTTTTGATCTGAACTGGGAGTGTTATTAAAGTTAGGCTAACCCCACTGTTGTGGTCTGCATATGTTCCATATCAGCACCGTAGAATTCAAAACAACCCCAACCGCATTAATGTATGTACATGATATTTTACCAATTTTCGTAGAACTTTCGCAGATTCATTTCCCTAAGAAAGTCAATAGATTGTTTCATCTTTTTTTTTCGAAATTACAACTATAGTAAGCATAATTAGACTTTCCTCAGTCAAAATGTTAGAAAGGTCTTGGAACCGGGAAGGTTGAGGTGCTAGCCCAGTGTCCAGTGAAGCAAGCCACAAGTTGTCAGAGAAGCGTACATCATCACACGAGGCATTAATACTTAAAACGGATATAACTAAAAAAAATAAACATAGAGTGTGCAAATTTGGTGCATAGACTTTTTTTGTGAATATAAGAACACGGTGCTCAAATGAACTTAATCCGGCGACAAATACTCCCATACAATGGGTGTCTCGAAAAGTGTTTATAATGCAATATATTCAAAAGCAATAAACGTAGCATGGTTTTTAGTTTTCCAATCACACTTTGTACTTCGACTTTAAAGAACCTTTGTATGGTTAGGCCCATTTGTTGAGGGTGATCAGTGTTGCATTGAATGTTTCTATCATAAATTGGTAGTACATTCAGCCATTTTTGTATCTGGTTTGTTGTAAACCTTTTTTATCGCTTTTCTTGTGGCTAATTCACCTTTTTGATTGTCGAATGATGAGGGTGGGTTTCAGGTTGTTGAACCCAAATGTCAATATATCTTCAACGGACTTCAGAGGTATTTTTCGACAGATAATTCGTTTTGTGATTGTAAAGAGTAGAAAGTGCATCATAAAATTCAAATCCGGTACACAGTTCAATCCTGATTTTAAATAAATCACCGTTTATCTGTGAGCATTCTCTTGGACTGCTTAATTTTTTTTCAAACTTAATTTGTTGTCTATCTATAGAAGATATAAATAATTCTGATTTGTGATTTTTTTTGTTTTACCAAACTTTAATTTACAAATACAAAAAGTATTGAAAAAAACTCAATTTTTAGTACACAAATATTTGATAATTTGTTTGTCATTATCGAAAATCATAGTAAAATAAAAAGATTTTAGCAACACACATGTCTCTGCCTTTGGCATTCTTTGTCAAAGCGTTCATATTTATATTCATTTTAACCCCAAACATAACCTCAAAAAGTGAGGCACTAGTGGAACTGTTTATGCAAGAGTTAATTGCTTTCTGGGGTTGACCGATATGTTTAAACCATTTTGAATCATCTGCCAACAGCTTCGCGAAAATATATATGTACATTTGCGATTTGATTTTTCGATTTGTTCGATGCTTCTTAGAACACATGTAGTTGTTAATAAGTTCTACATTGCTTTCATTAAAAAACTCTGCGAATAAATTCGAACAAATGCCGCCCCTCTGTCGCCGATGATGCGTGTCCACCCATACTGCTAACAGTGTCACAATATTAGAATCATAATCAATTGCTTGCAACATTTCTCTTTTTTTCCAGTCTCTTATTTTATACAATACATTTGACGCAATTATTTATGACTTAGTCTACAGCGCACTATAAAGACCTTCTTCATGTGTATCTCCAACGATTTATAATTCCGTTAAGACCTTGGTATTTTACTGGTTAAGCCTGAAATTGAAAGGAGCAGGACGAAGTACTTCACAAAGTTAAGAAATCATCCAAATCCGCTAGCTAATGCTTTATGTAACCCGCCTGCAATGAAGTGATGTTCCCGCCTTCTAAGAAGAGCGCCGTAGTTTGAAAAGGGTTCAGAGTCAAATAACTCGAGCTATCATGTTTGTAATTTAGTTTTTAAGATTTGTACACTTACTCTTAGGCTTATATTGAAGCAGATCCAGTAAATAAATGAATTCTGTAAAAAAAAAGTTTGGTTTAAAATCTTTCAAATCAACGACAACTTAGCTGGTTTAGCGATTTAAGATGTGAACATGTTTCATAAGTACTGTAAAAGTAAGATCTTGAATATTTTAAATCACAGAGCCCCTGCAATGAATTGAAAGCCTAATAGGTATTATCGAAATTTTTTTAACACCAATTACTCTCAGCAGACGAAGTACGTAATCCTAAGAAGTTTTATGATTTCGTTAACTCCCAATGGCAAAATCTGTTTGTTTCCGTCCGGCGGCACATGCAAAATTACTACATCAAGTATTTTTCATAATATCTCAAACATGATACAAAAAAAAGTAGTTTAACTCATAATTTTTTCAAAAATAATAGCCATGTGACAAAAAAGATATTTTGACCTTTTCTTTATTTTTGTGCTGCCAATTTCATAATTTAAAATAAAAATATGATAAAAAAATTCAAAACCTTTTTTTGTTAACAAAAAAGTAAATACATTTTTTTGTTTACGCAATTCATTTATTTACTGGATCTGCTTCAATATATGTCTAACAGTAAGTGTATAAATCTTAAAAACTAAATAACACACATGATAGCTCGAGTTATGTATATCCCGTTTCAAACTACGGCGCTCTCCTTAGAAGGCGTGAACATCTCTTCGCTGCAGGCGGAATTTCCTTATAGGTTGCATAAAACATTAGCTAGCGGATCTGGATGATTTCTCCTGCTTCTTTCAATTTCAGGCTTAGCGAGTAAAATACCAAAATCTTTATGTATGTTTACGTTACAAACGTACCATGGTGCGCTCGTTAGTGCTGTTAAAATTTTGGACTAGAACCTCTGTATTTTATCAATATTAGTTGCACAGTTGAATACCATACATCCAAATTGGTTTTAATTTTTGCGTTGTAAATAAGGACTAAACTAGCTGTCTTTAATTTCGTGTGTATTATATTTTCATCTATGTGTCTCTTCCAAGTGAGACGTCTATATAAGTGTACATCGATATATGTAACATCATTTACTTGGGGAATGTTTTTACCATTTAAGAGAATTGCAGGACATAATTGCGGTAAATGTAACGTTTTTACACCTTTGTTCATTAACTTTAATTCTCCAATTTTTTAGCCATTCTTCGATGAGGAGTAAATGATCACCCTGCGGAACACTAGCTTTTACCGTATACTCCTCACTGATAAGTTCAGATTGTTTAACGTAAATTGTCTGTTAGTCAGATATGACTTAAGTATCATATCAAATTGAACAGGCAGAGCTTTATGTATTTTATAGAGTAAACCTTTATGCCAGACTTTGTCGAACGCTTGTGCTACGTCAAGAAAGATTGCACAACAGTACCCACTGAGCCCGAATGCCTTTCTGATTTCTTTAGTTATTCGGTTAACTTGCTCAGTAGTACTATGATACGAAAGTCGAATTGGTGATCTGGTATCATATTGTTATGGTGGAGAAAAGGAGATATTTTTGATAGCAGAATTTTTTCAAATAATTTGGAAAGACTGGGTAGTGAGCTTATTGGTCTCTAAGAAGCCGCCTGTGTGGGGTCTTTGCCTGGTTTGTATTTAATTAACATCTGCAACATTTTCCACGCGTTTGGAAAGTAATTTAGTTTTAGAATGTCATTAAAGAGTTCAGAGAGTAATGCTTGTGCAACTCTTGGTAGCTTTATTAGCATTTTTGATGTAATAAGGTCGTGGCCCGGAGATGTCATTGGATTCAGTTTCTGTATCGCGTTAACCACTTCTAGGCTTGATATTTTAATTGCCACCTGATTTTCCTGGCCGTTTACAACAAACTCCGCTAAAATAAAATTATTAGTTGGGTCATTTGGCTGGAATACATTACTTAAATGCTTTGCAAAGCAATTTGCATTTTCTTCATTACTACGTGTCCAGTTACCGTTTGGGTTCCTTATTTGGCATATTCATTTCTATTGGAGGCTTGAATTTCTTGTGTGCTTTCCAGAGTGAGTATTTTTTGGCAGAATGTGGCGCTA